GAGAGAGAGAGAGAGAGAGAGAGAGAGAGAGAGAGAGAGAAAGGTGTGCGCACTTTCATACACTTCATTCTTATTTCCGCAATGTCATTTTTAATAGGTTTGTCTTTCGCGAGGTTAAACCACGAATGACTTTGCCCGAAAGTAGATATGTTTATGCATTAATAGAAGAAACACAGGAAATTACTAGTGCTATCGCATGTGCATATATAATTATAGGTCGACACCCGAGACAAGCGACATGGAAATTTCAGCAATACAGGATGTTTGCGAGACACTCGGCATTTTACTTTTAGATACCTGAAAAGTTTCCATGTGATCTCTTTACTTTCGACAAAAATTTGATTAAACGATACTTTTTTTCGCCGCTTCACGCTTCTCAATTCTGCAGATATTTTAAGGGCTAACACGATGAGCGTAAAAAAAATTCTATTAAAAGTAAACACGTCATACTAATATTATCACAGTTAAATAGCATTGTGTCTATATATATTGGTCAACACCGTTTCGACACTTTATAGACGCTCTGGGCGACGGCACAATACTCAATACAAATTTCGCTTGGGGTTTATTGCGCCGGCTTTGACCTCGCCTCGAGAGTGTAATCGATACCCTATTGAGTCCCGTCACAAATACAAAGGATGTCACGAGGCGAAGGAACTCCTCTCTCCCATCACCACCCATTTATGCATTACGATCCTGCACCTGCTGCCTGCTACTTGCGATGGTATCAACTTCTAATGGCATTCTCCGTGAAAAAAAGGAAAAGTTTTTTAACCTTTGTCCTTTTAGGAAAATAAGATGGTATCTAAAGAGTCCTCAATTTCTGTATAAATTTATATAACGTGCAATTATAAATCATCGATCTGTTAAGCAAAATTTAACTTGAAAATGGTAGAAAAAACATGGGAAATTATTTTCCAAGAAATTTGTCTTGAAAAAATGACGTAAATACGCGTAATAATTTTTTCAAAATCACCGAACGTATATACTTATAATCGATGAAAGTGCATCGCGATGCACGCGATAGCAAGCCACTTGTTCTCGAGAGTACGATTGACGTGATTAAAATAAACGGTCATCAGATATGGTGGTCCGTGTTAGAAATAATCGCTAACGCGCTAAAATTCGTTAACGCGAATTCCTCACTGCAGATAAAAAAAAAAGACAATCTAATATGTTAAGTGAGATGCTGTGATCGAAAAAGAATGAACGTTTTCGAAATATTTTCGCACATGCAGAGCTTATACGAATCGTTATATATTGACATGAAATTTATGTAATATCATGACACGTGCGTGCACTCAGAAGTAAATTATAATTTGTGATTTTATGTTGGTTTAAGCGCACATGAGTAAATACGAGCGATTCGTGCGGGTTCGCGACACGTGGGTCATTTACACGTGTTTATTACGCGGATTGATATGCGCCGTAGCACACACGTGAAACGAGAAAGACAAACATTCAATAGTTCAATTCATTAAAAATCTTATATTTTCCAAAAATATCGAATATGAATATGTATTTTAATGATGGACACGTGACAGAAAAATAACGTCAAAGAAAAATACGATGA